GCTCCATAAACACGAGAGTATCAGCTGATGTCAGGTTCAGACCAAGACCACCAACTGCATTGAGTTCCACAGTTTAAAACAGAAACTATTCAATTACATGACATACAAGTGATAAATAATAAACTTACCATGTGTTGTAAGAAGTAAGACATCAATAGTCGGGTCTGAATTGAAGGTTTTCACAATTTCAAAGCGCTTGTCTGGCTCAACGGATCCATCCAACCTCAAATATGTGACACTGATTAGAAAGTAAATGTCTCATTACAAAATAGAATTATGAACAGAAAGTGACTCTAAAATCTAAAACACGAAGGCAATAATGAAGGAAAACGATAAAAGTGAGTCATTTCCCATACAATTTAGATCTTAGTATCTTACCTCTTTTTTCAATACAAACATGCATAAATCTTTGTTCTTGATTGTTATGATCTTCAACAAAGTTTATGGACTGGTATACTCCATTCCCAAAATATAGTAAAACTTTCATTTTATGGCTATCTTAAAATAAAAATTATACTTCTACACTTTCCTATTAAGGAAAGGAATATGTGACTCACAACATTCTTTCTTCAAAGCATATTTCAACCACACATTTTTCTTTAACACTTTATAAACTCCATGAAGTCAAAGTGCTACTTTTATTTTGGGATGGAGAAGTATATCTTAGTTTGTCTATTTATAAATTTATTACATATGAATTTTAGTATATGGACTATTGTAAACTCGTATGTATAATAGGTTTTGCTACTTGTCTAAAAACGACTTCCAAAATGTACAAAAAAGAATGTATATATGCTCCATAGTTAACAACATGGAGTTACAGCATGGATGCAAAAAGTTAACACTACTAAAAATGATGGAGAAACTACACATTCAAGGTTGTAAAAAAGAATATGCTTACTTCTTCATCTGGGCATGAAATAAGTCCTTCTCGATGATGTCAAGAAAAGCCTGCAGTGCAGAAAACACAGTCAAATACCAAACAGATGGAACACAACACAAGGGCTTATGTCATAATCATAACATGTTTTAGATAAATGCAGGACCTACTTTATGCTGAGCAAATATTAGTACTCTATGCTGCCCAACATTGATAGGCCCTTCAGAAGCATCAATCCCAATTCCACACTCTTCAAGAATCTCCTGGAGGGCAACCAGTTTAGGAGAGTGGTGGAGTTTATGGAGTTCAGAGACTGTGTTAGAGCCATTAGGAAGACACTCCGATAGGGCATGTGAGATAGGCTCAGAAATTTTTTCACCAACCACTAACAGCGGATGGCTACAAAGTTTAAGCAAATACTGGAGTGCCTGCAACAATAACAAGATACATTCAGTAAAGCTTCTATAATACACACATTATACAGGAGTACTCTATTTAAAAACAATAACCTTGATTTTATGATATTTATAACAAATTTGTCCCATGCTGGATCAACAAATTATAAGTAGCAATAACCTCTTAAGTCAATAGGTCCAATATGAAGAAAACTAAATACCTTGATATAATACATAGGTGCTGAAGAATTAATATAGGTGAATATAGGTGTGTGCTGAAGTTAATTTTCAACCTACCTGGAAAACATGAGAAGATGCTTTAGGTACATCACTCCCTTGTCCTGTGTCGGATTCATTGACCTTCACCATGCTGGAAATTTCCTGCTTAACATGAGAACCGGAAAACTTTTCATACAGTTTTAGTTGAACAGGACTCAAGTCACAGTATCTATCTTGGATGATTTTCTCGGGTAAATCAGACAACACTTCTTCTTTTGTCCGGCGAAGAAGGAAAGGCATCACCTGTAAGAAAAATATTTTAGAAACCCCCTATAATCACTAAAACAATATTACAACAACCCAATTGGATCCCACGAGAGAAGCGTCGGGGGAGGGTGGGGGAGGGTGTGTGTACAGAGACCTTTCCCCTACTTGAAAGTAGGGAGGCTGTTTCTATGACAGAAAAATAACCCTACTTGCTTGTGCAATGCTTCCATTGCAAGCACTCCTCCTTCAGCATCCTTGGCTGAACATTTGGGATCCCTTGCAGCTAGCAAAGGTTTTCCATAGGAACTGTGGAACTGTCACATTAAGACATGTGGGGTGAATATAGTCAAACACAATTAAGATTGCGCAAATAAAATAGATAAGCTTGCTTCAGTTTGAAATGGAAAAAATTCAATCAAGTACAGATAACAAGTAGACTTGGCATGGCAGCCATGAATTAATAACCCCCATTTTAGAAAGATCCTGATACTTAAATGAAACAAAAGACAGATAACCGGCAACACATGAAAATAGAGCCTTATGCAATGAACAGACATGGGAAATGAGCACTAAAAAGAACAAAAGCCAACATCTCCCTTAAAAGTCAATTCTTATTATTTACTCCATCTGTCCCACTATTGTTATCCTTTGTCTGTTTTGTTTTGTTCCAAAATTTGTGTCACATCAGCGTTCTAATGAATGAGCCCCTATCATTAGTTCTCCCCATTCATAATTGTTTTTATTACCAACCCATTTGAACACGCACATATAGCAAATGCGCAAGGGATTAATTTTCACTTGGGAATCAATCACCACCAGCAAAACTTTATGTTCAGAAATTGGAAGTTACTCTTACACTAAAGTTACCCACCACACACGAAATACAAGGGAAAGTCGTGACCATTTTTCTTAGAGGGAGAAAACAAATGGAAGCAAGCATAACACTAGGTAAGACTTACTTGTCTCTCTGTTCCCAGAAATCCTGGCATGAGGAAATCAAAAAGTGACCACAAATCCAATACATTGTTCTGCAATCCATCAGAGTGCTTAGCATTCAAACACTGGATTCGTTTTATACATTAACTGAAATTCATATTCATAACAAACCTGAATTGGAGTTCCACTCAATATGAGACGGTGCTGAGCTTTCAGCTGTTTTACAGCAAGAGTGACTTTTGACTTTGAATTCTTTATGATGTGCCCCTCATCTAGAATACAATAGTTCCAGAAGTGCTGGCCAAGAGAGTCAACATCTTTGCGGACAACATCATATGATGTAATAATAACATTATATCTATTAAACTGAGAATGAAGAGATGAGCGTTCTTGAGCAGAACCAACATACTGAAGGGTAGTAACTAGAGAAGCATCAATGAACTTCTCTATCTCATACTCCCAGTGACCAACAAGGGTCGATGGACATATTATAAGAGAAGGTGGGAGATTCGCAGCAGATTTTTCAGCAACATGCTCTGCAATATCAGATGCCACAATTGCTGAAGCCTGAAGGGTTTTGCCAAGGCCCATGTCATCACATAAGATGCCATGAAGATTGAATCTCTTCAAAAATGCTAGCCAGTTAATACCTTCCTGTTGATACCTAAAAGAGGAACGAATACAATCATTTCAACAGAACAGAAAAAAACTAAAGGATAAGCCAGTCAGTAAAGAAATGAAATATAGGGAAACTGAATTTGAACATGTATTCATACACAACAATTTCATGTATATGTGTATTTCCTCTCAAGTTTTTCCATTCTATAGAAAGGGAAGAGACATTAGAGTTCCCTTCTAAAAAAGTCACTTTTATGCAAAACAAAGTACTATACACATTTTTTATTGACAAATTAGAGCTTCCCCCCACCCAAAAAAAAGAAACCTCTAATTGCTAGAGAAAATTCAATAATCAATAAAAGTTACAAATAAGAAGGAAAATAAAATCTCCAAAAAAAACACACTAGAGTTACCTTCTGAGAGTCACTTTTAAGTCGGTAAAGAGCTTGTAATCATCAATGTGTGAGCTGTCAACAAGTTGCTCCAGGAATTTTACATCATCTTGATTGCGGGATAAACGATCATTGAGCCCCTCAGGGGTACAAATACCACGGGCTAATGGAAGCAGAGGTACCAGTGTCGCAAAACTATGTGTTACACTTTGCCTAACTGATTGATCAGAATCACTCATGCATCTCAATAAAGGAACTACTAAAAGCGGAGCATAAGGAACCAAATCCATGCCAAGCCCCTGAACTAGTAAGCTGACAAGCATGCCAGCGCCTTGTCTAGAATGAACAGATGTCATATCTCCCAACATAGGAATCACATTTTCGACGACTTCAATCATCACAGTTACTGCCATAGATTTGGCCATTGTTGTGATACACCTAGACGCAGCCAATCTCACAGCCACATGAGGATGGCAAACACACCTAAAGATGCATGGAAGAAGCACGAGAAGTTTAGACCTCAATGCCACATCCAACAAAGGAGCAATGGAACGGACTACCTGCCAGTTAAAAAGAAAAGACAAAATAAGCAACAATATGAACTGTTTATGTGGTTACAAGAATCATGTTGTGCCAGAGCACTGACAGTAGCAGCAACACACTATTAAACATTCAAAATGTATCCATCCTACAAAGAGAAACTTCCTGAAATGGTCCTCTCTTATGTTACAATTTTTTTCTAGATATACACTCATACGAACTTGACAGTTCTTCTGGACATCCACCAATATGAAATTGACTGCTCTGAGAGAAAATCCCCTAAAACACCCTATCTTGTTTTGACAGTTGTTCTGAATATCCAGCATATTCTTTCTTTATCCTTCGTCAAAATAGAGTTGTCAGAGTAAAATATTTTGTGGGTGGATGTCCAGAAGAACCAGCAAATTAAAATATAAATTTTTATGGATTTTTCTCTCAAAACAACAGATACTTGGAGTCAATTTATGTGAGTGCACGTCAAGAAAAACTGCTGAATAAGAGAAGATTATTTGCGGTATTTTCTTTGAAAACATGGGATATCAGAAATCAAGTTTGTATGAATGAATGTCAGGAAGAACTGCCAAATGAAAGAAGACTATTCGCAGTATTTTCTTTATAAATAGTGAATATCCTAAGTCAAATTTGTAAGAGTGGATGTCCGGAAGAGTACTTTAACATTAAAGGACTATTTGGGGAAATTTTTAATCCGACGAACATTCTGGATATAAGAGGAAATTAAAATAATAATATCCAATTTAAGCTGCACATGCAGCAACTTGTTCCAATATATTTCCTAGAAGGATAAAGTCCCACCCAAAAGAAGCATATGGATTATTGTTTACATGGCAAGGTGTATATGATCAATGTTATAAGATGTGATTGATCAATGTTGATCATAAATCACATTTTTCAAGACAAATGGGAGCATAGATATTGGAAGTACTGTTGGTATATGTGATCGGGGGCTTTCAAGCCAAACGTGAGCATAGATATCAGTGCATGTCATTGTTGATGTTTTTAGTATTTCAAACAGTCCGCAGGCGCAGAAAATTTGCAAAGGCACAAGGAGCTTTTTAAATATAAATAAATTGGGAGAGTAAGGGCTGAGGGTAGCAAGGATACAGATTATAAAATGTGATATAGATACATACTGTAAGTGGTTAAGGTTTGATAAAAGGGAAGAAAACATATTACTTGTGTGATTAATTGATGTAAAGGGCAAACCACATTGTAATAACATGTTATGAGATTCAAAAATAAGTACTCCGTATTTACTTATTCGAAGATGCATATGCGTGAAGTTCATATACCTGAATATTATTAATCAAAATCTGAGGATCATTAGCAGAATCGATAGATTCAGATATAAGTTTCTCATTAGCTGGGGTCAACCCTTCAATATTTCCAGGCTTTAAGACTTCTACCAGGCAATCCCATAGCTTAGGAAGCCTGTCAAACAAAGATATACCAAATTTCTCACACAAACATTTCAGGGCAAGCTCAGCTCCACGTCTGCTAATGAATCCCTCAACCATTGATCGATCATCACCTGGGGAAAGCATATGAACTTTTGATTTCTGCCTGGTACTACTACTGCATCTGAAGGAGAGAAGTCCTTGTTCTTCAATTTTTTCAATAGAATTCAAGACTGCAGCTTGAGGAGTCTCACAAGGATCCATGCATGTCAAACTACAGAGATTCCTGATTAACTTATCATTTGGTCCAGGTTTACGGGACATGCAACAATATATGAGCTCTGCCAAAGCCTCCGCTGCTGTACCTTGTAGTATTTCCTCCTTTGAAATTCATAAAATACAAAACTACGTTAAATGGAACAGTTTCAACACAACGCTGGTTTTGGTTTGAAATTTTACCTGTTCTCTCCTCAGAGATGCCATTAAAGGCAAAATAACTGGGTTGAGTTTTGCTGGAAGGTTAGACATCCAAACAACAGCAGCAGCAAGCAAAGCTGAGACAGTGACATGCAAATTGTTCTGCAATATAGTAAGTCCTCAGACCAAAAGCCAGGTGAAAGGAAGGACAGACAGAAAAACAAAATTAGGTATCAAAATTTAACACTATGGGTTTACCCAGAAACTATGACTAGCAAAGAATGCATATTCTAGCAATAAACGAATAACTACCTATACTAACCTAAAAACAAGTAAAAGAGCAGTTCTTATTAAAAAACATTCCAAAGATTTAAGGATAAACCCAGACCATACCTGAACACACTTCAAATATCCACCAGTTGTCAAAACTCTTTGCTTCAATGATTCTAATTCATCAAAGATGTTCTGTCTGGTAGACTCTTCCCCGGTGATTATATTGTTCAAAAAGGAAAGTTTAGATGCAAAACTCACAGCATCATCTACACTCAAACTTTCCAGTTCAAGATTAGTGGATGACAATACATCTGTAAACATGCCAGATGCCTCAGTACCATGGTACAACTGACGAGCCTCATTGCGCATTTTCTCGTATGTCCTAGAAAGTTCGGCATATGGAAGAGCTGAATCTTTAGATGGGAATGCGGGATTCGTGCAAGATAACAAATCTAACAACCTTTCCCCAAAATTAATGGAAATGCAGGCAATAACCCCCTCAGACTTCAATTTGTCCTTTAATTTCAACTCCTTGAACCATGAAATGAGCACCATTGAAGCTACCTACAGTAACCAAAGAAAAAGAAGGATATACATCAAGTTGTCAACTAACAGAAAATACACAAATGAATAAAGAAGAAATCAGATCATATTTAACAGAATTCTAGCATGGCATACAAGAAACTATATGATCAGAACCTGTCTTTGAACTCCAGAAAAAGAGGCAAGTCCCTTCCATAATGGGTCTACAACATATTGAAGAGCAGCATCATCCAATTTAGAAGCTAAAATTCCTAATGCTGTGGCAGTGACAACTCGTGTTTGGGTAACTGACAAGTCTGCATCGCCGCCAACAACTATCTTTCCAATGTGAGTGGAGGTATTGCCATTTTTATCCTGAAGACTAGTAGAATCTACTGAACTAAAGCAAATGTTATTATAGGGGTCACATTCTGGCTTCACAGCTCTCATCTTAGCAGCTGCCTTGAAGTGACTTTTGCGAGGAAGGGCCACAGGCCAAAACATTTTTGTAGTATCCAATGGTGAACCAAAAGGAGTACTTGATAACTCTATCCAAGAGGAAAAGTATGCCTTCACAGCAACTGTTAAGTCATCCACTGTGCACTGAAATTTAGAGAAATACGGAGAAATCCATTGATACTAGGACTTAAATGCAATACAGTCATAACTAATAAAAGGAGATTGGCTTGACAAAAAATGAGATGAGACTTTCCATGCAAGTGCACGAAACAAAGGCACATAGAATCTCAGTCCCCAAAACAGATCAACCACTCCATCCTGCTATAACTAATTTAGTACTTCACTCTATCATGTACTCCCTCCGTCCCATTTTAAATTGCATGTTTGCCTTTTTTCTCCGTCCCAAAATAAATTGCCTGTTAGTTGTTTTTGTAAACTTTAAAAAATAAAATACCTAAACTACCCTTAAAATAAGTCACTCTTTTTCACCTTATCTTCTTATTCATCATCACCCCTTTTAAAAAGTAATGTCAATTTCGAAAAATCAACTTAATTTTTTATTTTCCTTAAATATGCCCAAAAGTCAAAACGGGCGATTTAAATTGGGACGGAGGGAGTAATAGATTCTTAGGAATTAGAATCTCAGTCCCCCAAAACAGATTCACCCACTCCATCCTGTCATAACTAATTCATGTACTCAAAACACCCCCACCCCCGTTCTAAGATTCCAAAGTCGGGAGCCTTATAAAATTGTTACTATATAAAACATTGAATATAATTGTGTCTGAGATGCTAATGCTGTTTTTATTGAGAGAACCAAACAAAGCAAAAGGGCATGACCATAAATAGTAGAATTTGTTGTTTTTGCTAATAAAAAATGGAGCACGGCGAAGCCAAAGCAAAAAAGTTGCTGGATTATCCAGCATTATTATCAGATGGCAACCTGGAGAAGAAGCCCCCAGACTCTCTTTGAGCACTGCACAACCTCTTCATTTGATTCAAGCAATAAATTCTGAAAAACAATTCGAAGGGTATCACCAAGAATAACTGAGGGCCAGAAGGAACTAGACACTTCAGATAAGCTCCTCTTGAACCCAGCTTCCAGCAAACGCTCCTGCAAAGTATTGATTTCATCCCATTTAGGCAAGCATATAGAGTAACTGATGCAGCATGTCAGATATTAGACAAAAAAAAGGATAAAAATCCATGAAACATGAGTGAAAAAATATGACACTGAGAGAACTTTGATATGGCTATTTGCACAATATAAAAGAAGCCTTAGTAGAGAAAGGGTCTACCAGAGTACGAATGGCTGCATAGCGGACAGACGTGATACTATGTCTCATGAATGGCCATAATCTTGGTGCCAGAATTGACATCATATGAGGGTTCTCTAAAGAGCTAGTCCCTTCACTAATATAATCTTTGTAACCACTTTCATTGAGATTGATTTCTTGGTTCCGAAGTGATGGCAGGTTCTCGTACGTCTTTGAAATCATCCGTTCTTGAGAGTAAATTTCCGCCAATAAGTTCATAACACTACATTTTGATTAGTTAAAAAGTAAGTTCACTCGTAAGGGTTAACAGTAATAAATATCCCAAGCAGCAAGTCATCTGTGTCAGCTCTTATAGAGGGAGATACAAGAATATGAAAATGGAGTACAACATAGCACAAAGAAAGTCTTGTTTCACTAATAAGCTATGCTTAGCAAAAAAACATCCCTCTGTGTGTGTGCGTGAGAGAGAGAGAGAGATCACAAAACTTGAAGAGACGAAATGACTGTTTGGCAAGGGGATGATGGTGTGCAGGCATACCTTACCCCTACTCAAAACTAGAGAGGTTGTTTCAAAAACACTCTTGACTTGAGCAACACAGAAGGCACACGAAGCACAAACACAATAAGCAAGGATCAACCTAGGAGTAAAGGAAAGCACAAAGAGACAAAAAGCCCAAAATAAAGAAAGCACACATGACAAGAAGTGAGACCCGAGGAGTTGAGGCAGCACTGCATTTCCTAGAGAAGAGATGGCGAGGCAAAATGTGATGGACGAGCTAAGGCATGCACCTCCCTTACCTAAATTCTGAGCGCAGGGTGGTTGCCTCTCGCTGAGAAAATAAATTTGTGTAACCTTCTTTGAAACTTATAACTTTCAACTTCTAACAAAAATGTCTTTCACCCGCAATTTTTCGAGATGATAGAAGATGTTCGACCTCATCCAATCTTCAAGAGCAATATTTCACATCAGCAACGGGTTAGCCTTCTACGCCCTAAGTTTCATTTTCCAGCTGAACACAGTTCTACTCTGATTTTTTTCAATGTTAATTTTGTTGGTCTTCTGCAGTTCTACTCTGATTTTTTTGTTGGTCTTCACCAGGTCTACTCTGATTTTTTAAATATTAATTTTGGTCCACCAATTTTTTTTAATTTCTAACTTTTAAATAATATTTTTTAAATAAAACGTTTTTTATTAATAAGAGAAAGAGTGAAAGTAATTTTTTATATAATACAGAGCATATGTTAACATGATTGATTATAGTTAAATGTTCCTTGAGCTGGGGGTCTCTTGGAAACAGCCTCTCTACTTTTAGTAGGGTTAAGGTCTGCGTACACACACACCCTGTTGTTGTGGGATTCCGCTGGGTTGTTGTTGTAATGATTATACACCCTCCGTCCCATATTTTTCTTCCCATTTTCTTAATTGGCAAATAAACTTTACTAAAAAGGTTAATTTACCCTCCCTTTCTCTTCCTCTTTTTCTTCTCCAGACCCACCTTCATTCTTTCTCCGTCAAATCCAACCTCCCTCCCTCCTTCTTACCATTCCCTCTGTCTAACTAAATTCCTTACCCTCCCCCCCCCCAGCTGCCATTTTTGTCTTCTCCTTACGCCTTACCGCTCCCCTTATCTTTCTTATAAATCTTCTTCTTAGTCAGATTTACCACCGTCCACTGCCTTCTTCTTCTTCTTCTTCTTTTCTTCCTTTTCTACTTCTTATTACTC